GAACCTTCTCACAGAGTGTGAAGCTTTTTAAAAGTCAGCACTGTCACATAGTGAGGGGCGCCCCACTAAGAACCAATCTCCTTTGCTTTTCTTCTGAAATACATTTGTGTCTGTCATCTCTGCACTAGGGTCTCTGCTTATTTAAGGCTCAGAGTGAGAGAACAGATGAGAAGACAAATGCCTGCGTGTGGATATGAGTCAGAGCTTGACTCACTCTCAAACTTGCAGGACGGTGGCACAGCTGGGCAAGGGAATGGAAACAGGCTGCTGTTGAACCATGAAGGCACATGCTTCTCCGGCAGGTTGGAGAGACAGGATGGGAAACGAGCTCTGGTAGCATAGTGCCTAAGGCACTTGACTACTAACCAAAAGGCTGGCAGTTCAAACCCACCAGCCACTCCTTGGAAGGAAGGTTGGGCAATCTACTTCCATAGTGATGCTGCCTCAGAAACCCAGGGAGGGGTTGCTATGAGTTGAGTCTGACTTGCTGGCAAATAACCACAACATAGGTTCAAAAGCCGTTGTGGTATGTACACAGGTGTGCTTTATACCTGGTAAAGAAGGCAGCAGAGACCACACATCCCAAACACTTGTCAATATTCCCATTTGTTAAAGCTCTCAGCCTAAAGACAAGGGTATTATAAGACTGCTATCATTCTTTCACAGCTGGAATTGGGTCTCAAAATCTAAAAAATCATGGGAGGGGGGCAGGTAATGTGGTTCATAAACTGGGAGAAGGAGCTCAATGAGACTGATGTGGATCCAGGAATTCAGTGGCTTAGTAGGCTCTCAAACTGTTAAATTAAAAATTTTGAGAGGAGAGAGGGAAAATAAAGTTTAAAATTGGTCACCGCTGGTTAGGCATATCGAGCCATGGCAGTCCATTAGCATTCTCCCTGGTTGACCAGGAAGTGAAAGGCTGCATGCAGACTTTTGGGAGCCAGGAGAAGCCCTTGGACTCTGGAAATAGTAATGACTCAGAGTATGTGGCACCAGAGTTCAGGGACAGGGCCTGAGGGGATCGCTGCTTCTCTTTAGAGTAGCCCCTCAGAACCTACACTGCCCAAAGGAGCCAGCACATCTTTAAACCAGAGAAGGCTGCAACCTGGCTCAAATCAGGTGAGTTAGGATGGGGCTGATGGCTGTGTGTCAGGGGCCCAGGTGTGACACATTCTCATTGTTCCAGTCTGTCTTGGGGGTAGAGTGCTGAGATATGGGGCGAGAGACAGTAATGCTCAGGAAGGGGATTGTGGAGAGGCTGCCTCTCCTGGGAGGACTACAGGTCACCCCTTTCTCTGAGGAGGCTGGAGAACATGTGGGTTAGCTGGGCCACTATGCACATTAGAAGATCTCTGAGCAGAGAGTGTCCTTAGCAAGTAAATAGTCCAGAATCATCAGGCCAGGAGGGAGGTTCCTGGTCTGATCCTCTGACTCTTGGAGAGTCTCAGAGTGTCTGCTGGTTTTGCCCCAGGACTGTAGGAGCTAGCTCTCTGAGTGGGGCCCTGGAATCAGAAGCACTACAGGTATTTTCAGTGTGAAAAACCACTATTTCTACAGAAAATAACCAAAAGAAAATAAAACCTTCCACTCAGTCTGTGTAAATGTTGTGGTTAGGGAACAGTGGGGAAGGGCAGACCTCCATGCAGCTGTCTGTGGGCCTGCAGGGACATGTCATTTTTACTTTAGCCATATCCATTTAGATTTTGCTAAAATTTCACAACTCCGTAAGTTTACAGAGTTGTAAAACTCGTTACAAAAAAAAAAAAAAAAAAAACACCTTTTCATGTGGCATAAATATACTACCAAGCATAACCCAAAATACACAAACAGCAAAAGATAAAGTAGATAACTGGGAATTTCTAAAAATTAAATTTTTATGTTTCCAAAGACTTCTCCAAAAGAGTAAAAAGAGAACCTATAGATTGGGAAAAAAATGTTTGGCTATGACAATGTCACCATCTCAACAACAAAAAGACAAAAAATCAGTTAAAAAATGGGCAGAACACATGAATAGACACTTCACCAAAGAGGATATTCAGGCGGCCAACAAACATGAAGAAATGCTCACGATCATTAGCCCTTAGAGAGATGCAAATCAAAACAGCAATGAGATACCATCTTGCCCTAGCACTAGTAGCAAAGTTCAACAAGACAGAAAATAACAAATGCTGGCAAGAATGTGGAGAGATTGGGACTCTCCTACACTGCTGGTGGGACTGTAAAAGGATACAACCACAGTGGAAAGCAGTATGGCAATTCCTTAAAAAGTTGGAATTAGAAATACCATTTGACCCAGCCATTCCATTACTAGATATATATCCTGCAGAAGTGAGAGCCAGGACAAGAACAGATATATGCATACCTATGTTCATTGCCGCACTATTTACAATAGCAAAAAGATTGAAACAAACTAGGTGCCCATCAAAAGAACAATGGATAACCAAGCAATGGTACATTCGCACAATGGAATACTATGCAACCCTAAAGAATAGAATCTGCAAAACACCGCATCCATAATATGGATGAACTTGGAGGACATTATGCTGAGTAAAATAAGTCAATCACCCAGGACAAATATTGAATTAGTCCGTTATTGTAAAAAGTCAAGGAAAGGTTTCTATATGGAAGGAAATTTACTTTGTTGGTTACCAGGGGTTGGTGAGGAGCAGAGGGGAGGGAACACTGCTAGATAGGTAGAGACAAGTATTGATTTGGGTGAGGGGAAGGGCAATGTACCAAATGTGAGTGATCAATACAGTGACATTGAGGAAGAGGAAGACATAGAGAGGTGCATGGGAGATACATACAACAAAGATGAACCCTTTTGCACATACAGTACTACGTGGTCAGTGATGGAAAACATTGATCTATATGGGTGGATAGATGGGTGGACAGGCTGAATGATTAGGTATATCTATGTAGGGGGGAGTGTGCCCATAACATGTATAGGGTTTGCAGACAATGTTTGTACAAGTGTATTGGTATGCTCCGTAAGAATTTCCAGGTACATAGTAGAGCTGACAAGGGACAAAGTTGTTGTCACTTCTTGGCTACAGCAAACTACCCAGAGGGAGCGAGTAGTTGGAACTGTGGGCTCAGGACATGGTCTCAGGGGACATCAAGCTCAATTGGCATAACATACTACACAAAAACATTGTTCCACATCCTACTTTGAGGAGTAGTGACTGAGATCTTAAAAGCTTGCAAGCAGTCACCTAGATGCAACAATGGTACTCTCCTTATCCAGAGCAAAGAAATGAATAAAACCAAAGACACATGGAAACAATTAGTCCAAGAGACCAGTACACCATGTGATCCTCAGCCTACATGACTATGAGACCAGAAGTACTAGATGGTGCCCGGCTACCACTGTCAACCATTTGGAGGGGAATCTATGCCGGAGATCCTGGATAGAGTGGGAGAACAATGTGGAACAAAGCTCAGAATCATTTACAAAGAGAGAGAGAGAGAGGGACCAGGTTTGCTGGTCTGATAGAGCCTTGTAGAATACCTGAGACTATGCCTCCTAGCTGCCCTTCAGGTCTGAAATTGAACCCACTCCTGTGGCTCCCAGCTAAACAAAAGTCAGGCATAGGAGCTGAACATTTTCATTAAGTAGATGCACTCCTAAGGAGCTCTTGTGTTGTAGTGCCTAAGGCATTTGACTGCTAACCAGAAGGCTGGTGGTTCAAATCCACCAGCCACTCCTTGGAAGGAAGGTTGGGCAATCTACTTCTGTAGTGATACTGCCTGGGAAACCCAAAGAGGGGAATTCAATCATGTGAGAATAGAAGGGCTGTGTGTGCACAGGGAGACAGCTCAGGGACCAGTAGTGCATGGGAGGGAAGGACACAGGAAGGAGGTAACTTTTGTGGGGGAAGAGGTAACTATGGGGAGGAAGTGGGAAGAGAGCTGGTGCACTGTGAGAAATTGCAGTCAGTGTCATGAACTACTGTATGAAAAATGAATTTGCTCTGTAAACTTTCACCCAAATCACAATAAAAATAATACTAATAAAAAAAACCACATTTCCATTCTTTGCTTTTCAGTGATGTAGAATTTTATTAAATAGGAAAGAAAAAGTCAGATGGCAGAATATTTTGCTGAAGAACACGATGTCCATAATCCCTTCATGCTGTGAGGAAAGTATAAATTGAAGGCTGGTCAGAGGAAATAACATGTAAATCACAAACCACACATATTAATGTAAATGATATTTCACATGGCTAGATTCCTCCCTCTTGGGCCTTATGCATTATTTCTGGAGCTTGCTGCCTGCCAGAGGCAGGTCTTAGAGTGCAGTTTGTTCAGGTTGGGGATCTGGGAGGTGAAGGTAATTGATCCTGCTCTGCTGCTCACACATTGTTGGTGAGATTGATTCATCTTGCAGTGGTGTTGACAGTGCCCCTGAGACGCATTCCCCTTTGTATTTAGTGGAGGAAAAAGTAGTTAGGATGAGTGTGTGGGGTGGAGTGTGAGGCTCCCTGGAGCCCTATGCGGCTCCACAGGAAGACCAGAGGCCTGGGGAAGAGAGAAAGCAGCCTCCTGGTCAGTCGAACTTTCCAGCTTCACCCTCCACTCTGATGGAGGTGACTCCACCATGCTCCCTGACATCTGCCTCCACTCAGAGTCTGGGGTGAGGGAGCTTTGAGGAAGGGGAGAGTGATTTATGAGTCTCCCTTTTTGCTCTTTCATGATCCATGACACACATACACATATGCCGCTTAGAGCAACCTTTGGGCTTGTCTTTGCCATGTGTGCCAGTGATGCCCATTAGGGTGAGGATTAGGATCATCTGTGTTTCTGCTGACCAGTCCTTTGCAGTTTTCTAACTTGAAATATTATTCTCAGCTTTTCTGAAGCAGTTAGTCACTGAGTCTGATTGTTCTTCATTTTCACCTCCTCTTCTCTGCTGGCTGTTTTTAGTTGGTTAGGGGCAGCCAGGGCACTGGTTTTTGGAAGAGGCAGTAAAGAGGGGAATTTTGTTCTCTTCTCTGCAGGGGTGATCATCAAGAGGAAGAGTGGAGAGATCCCTTGCCCTTTGGCTGTGGAGGCCTTTGCTGCTCACCTGAGCTACATTTGCAAATATGATGACAAATACAGCAAGTAAGTGAGCATGGCAACTCAAGTCTGCCAAAGGGGTCTTTGTTTCATCATCACAGAAGTGAATTGGTAGATGATCAGTTGTTGTTGTTATGTGCCGTCGAGTCAGACTTGACTCATAGCGACCCCTCTTTGGGTTTCTGAGGCAGTATCACTACAGAAATAGATTGCCCACATACGATTGAAAAATGAAAGCCCTGTGAGATACAATTTTGTATGCTCATCCTTACTCTCTCAGATCTGGCCCATGCAGTTCATCCACCTGCCTCACCTCTGACACCTGTGTTCAGGGTTCTTGACTCCACATTTTCCTGCCCAAAGATACCCTTCCCTCCCATGCATCCAAATCAAGTCAGCTATGTCCCACACTTCTGTGAAGGCTTCCTAGTTCCTCTATCCCAGATTATTCTCTGCCCCATCCACTTAGCGTCTGCCCTATACATTTTCACACTGAGTCCTATATTTACTAGCACTGGTTATTTCAGGGTTTCCAATATAGATATTCCTTAAATAAGATTATCTATTGTCAGTACATTCATGACACAGCACACAAGCTACATGTACATACATATACCCCATGATACGCAGGATAGGAGCTCAGAAATAATCATCACTGACATTTCTGTGACTGCTAAATCAGTAGTGTTGGACATCACACCTTAGAATCCAGCTGCAGTTAGATAACTCTTCAGCTCTCTTTTTCCTACTTTTTCGGGGCCTTTCCATTGCAGGGAGGGAAAAACAAGGACCTGGCTTTCTGGAAATCTCAGCCTACGTGTGAAAGGTAGCACCATTACTTAGAGATTCACTTAGCATGTCTTTATTGAATACCTTGCTAAGTTCCACTAGGCTATCAAAAATACATGTACATTTTTTTAATAAGCATATGCTGGTCATTGTGCTGGTATTAGAGATGCTGATATGTACATTGAAAATATACTTTGACCAGCCCTAAGATGGGCTCCTTGAGGTGTTCCTCAGTGTCAGAGGGTTGGAGAAATGTCTGCTGAGGCTGTGACGTTGGGATGTGAGAATGACGAAGAAAGTGAACTCGGGAAGAGAGAGAGCACCACCTTAGATACCTGGAGCTGAGGGAGAATATGACCCTTGAGAGGCTGGAGCCATTAGGCATGAACAGAATGCAACATTTGATAAGAAGTCAGTACATGGGGAAGGCCCTTCTGGCTCCAGGGCAGTAAACCATGCTCCAGGAAATATGGCACCTGACTTCAGTATCTCCCTCAGCGACCTGCCTCATTCCATTTCATTTTTGTTAGGAAGTGTTTCTACTTTCTGTATATTGTGCATTGTGACAAAGCCAACTTGCTGCCCCCTGAGCTCTCTCCATGCATAGAAAGATTCCACAGCACCCTTCTTGCCATGGTGAGGCCTCATAGTTACCCATGTATTAGCTGGGCCAACCTTTCTTTTCTCCTTGTCCTCGTAGGTATTTCATTTCCCATAAACCAAACAAGACCTGGCAGCAGGTGTTCTGGTTTGCCATCAGCATCGCCATCAACAATGCCTACATCCTGTACAAAATGTCTGATGCCTACCATGTAAAGAGGTACAGCCGGGCCCAATTTGGGGAGAGACTGGTCAGAGAGCTGCTGGGCTTGGAGGACACCTCACCATCCCACTGATGCCTGGGCTCAGCCCAAGGCTCAGATGAGGGACCAAGTTGAGGGAAGGTGAGAAAAGGGAGAGAGCCTGCTGTTCTAACCTGCCTCAGCAGAGACCTGGAGATGTCACAGAGAAGCTGTGAGACCTCTGTGGGCAGAACAGGGACTTCACTGGAAGGAGTGGCTGCTTGTCCTGGTTTCTACTCAAAGAAGAGCATGTTTTGTGAAACTGCCCCCACCACCACCACCACTATATTGTCAGCTCTCTACATGGACTCGAATGCTGGTCATTGCTATGTCAGTCATGTCTGTTCAGCAGGGCATGATGCCTGTGCAACCCCATTCAAGCCTGGCAGGTAGTGTCCTCTCTTAACAGAGGTGGCTTGTAGGGGCTGTTGCCAGTAACAGCTTCAGGGGTGGGCTGAGCTGTAGAATACTTTGGTGGAAAATACCTGCTTTGTAAAGATGTAAAGAGATTTGGGACATGGTTCCATTTCATGATGTGTTAAGAGGTGATAGGGAAGCAGCAAAGATCTGACCTTCACCCTTGAAGTTGTTCAGGGGTGTGTAGGTGACCAGAGGGCTTCCCAACATCTTTATGGTGGCAAGAAGCTTATAGTAGATCTCTCAGAAGAAGGAAAAATTGGGTGCCATTAAAAGACAGTGATGGAATGGGTAGCAGTTGCCTGTTCTCATTTATCAGTAAGGCATCCCTACTCATCTCCAAGCCAGGTTGGCTGGTGTGATGGGGATAAAGGAGAATGCCAACATCACTTGCAGTGAAGTGTGATGCTATTTTTTCCTATTTTAAAATAGATCTTCGAGTTATTTTCTTACTGTTGCTTAAGATCTAATGCAAAGGAAAATGTCCCCCTTTCCTCCCCTCCCCTCATCTCCCTCCCTCATTACCTTCATGGTGACTTACATAATCACCATTCTGTGACTGTACTAGGGCCAGAGAGGGCAGTCACTTCCAAGAGAAATGTGGTGACACTTGCCCCAAGGACCACAGGGAGCCTTGTGGGCCTTAAGTTTTGTCACAGAGATTATCATTGGCAGGATTACTTGTTTTGAACAACAACATTGCTGGAGCAACAACAAACATTCACTACAGATGGCTACTGGCTAGTGTGTAGTGAACCTGGCACCACTACCTTTCTCAAAGCTGCCACTCAGAAAGGTGTGATTGTCATAAGCAAAGCATAAAATGGGGATGCCCAAGCCTTGCTTGGATATGATCTGACATGGAGCTAGAGAGCTTTGCTTCCCACACTACTGAAAGGACTGTGTGAGAAACAACCAAGAATAAAGGTGTCCGTCTACTTCCTGAAAGATCAGGGCTCTTTCTGAATCAAGATATATGTGTCTACATGGGAACCTCAGGGCCAGAGTGTTCTATTAGCCTGACTATCCCCACAGGCAAGAAACAAGTAATTTCTGGAATTTCACAGGCCCCCTTTAATCCAACTTTATGTAACCACTTTATTTCTACAAATGCAAAATCTATTCTACTCAGGCTTTGGGACTATTTTCCTTGTTCAGACTCAGTTAATTAAGTGTTGCTGGCAGCATGCTTCTGAACTCCATATCATTTCTGTATTCCTGGTTGATGAACATTACCCTTACCCTTTGGTTTTAATTCAATGCCACGGATTGTAGGCCAAATTTTAAATTGTGTTTCAGAACACCTTTGCCATGTCCTATAATTGGATTGAAAGCACTTTTATCACATGGAGAAATATATTTTTAATTTGTGATGCTTTTTTACAAAGTCCACTATTTCTGAGTTTAATGTGTTTCCAACACTTAGGAAGATTCTAATGATCTAATGAAAGGTGATAAACTTTCTTTTCTGTCCAAAAAACTAAACTAAAATAAAAGTCTATTTAGATGTTCATTCTTTGTTAATATGTTAATTTGTTTAAAAGTTCAGGGACAAAAATATGGGCTTGATTTCCTGTTATATAATGTAGTATATATGATCTTAACAGTTCTTATTGTCGCAAATCTCTGAGTGGTTTAAAAGAGAAATACAGTGAAGTTTTGACTAAATAATGTATACTTATGATGTAGTTCTGTAAGTATAGTTGTATCTGAGGTGCCATTTGGAGACAATACTGTGCCCGCCTTTCGATGTGGTGATTTTTCTCATGTCTCCTACCTTGTATCATGTATTGTTCCAAGTTAACATGACAAGGAGCTGTTGGGAAGATGTTGTGGGTAACATCGAATTACCAAGTAATTTGAGAGTAATTATACCATTTTAGTGCTGGGTTTTTTAAATGGTAACCACTTGTTTCTGATAAATGATTGGAAAAGTCGGCAGCTCAGCTTGGAATCTAGTGGACGTTGTAAGCACTCTAGCCCTCACAAGGCATGGTACTGATTAAGGAGAATTTCTCTTCTCCTTTAAGAAGAACAAATGGACATGTAGTACTGGGAAAGTCTTCAGGGATTTGGGCATTATAGATGTGACTTATAGTGATTTTAGGAATTGCTATAATTAAGATGGGCACTCTGGTGGCATAGTGCCTAAGGCACCTGACTGCTAACCAGAAGGCTGATGGTTCAAACCTACCAGCCACTCCTCAAAAGAAGATTGGGCAATCGACTTCCATAGTGATACCACCTCAGCAACCCAGGGAGGGGCCACGCTATGAGTCGGATCCAACTCAGCAGCAGTGGGTATAGTTAAAATACATCTGGCTCCAGTGTCCCTGGCATTGACAGCTGCTGGTTGACACTTGAATTGGCTAATTTAATGGCCATTACTGGAATTACTGAATGGTTCTCATAACAGGAGAAGCAGCACAGCCAGGAGGTGGCAGGGGGCAGGTGGCCCTCTGCATCCTGTGGCCAGTGAGGTCCCTTTTCTGTTCAGGTCCTGCCATTGTGAGATACTAAGGTCCCTTGAGATGTTGGCTATGGAATCCTAAAAAGGAAGACTGAATGATAAGCTTCCCTACCCTCATGCAAAACAAAACAACAACAAAACCTTCTAAGCTTCTCCAAAGAAAATCTCAATTAACTCATGCTCAGTGAGAATGAAACTGTTAGACAATTTAAGATGTTGTCTTATGACTGTGATTTTATTTGGAATCAGGTAAGGTAAATTCTTAGTATTTAAAATGAACAGATGAATTTCTGTTTGATTTGCTGCCTTCTTTACTGTGCTCCATCTTTGACTTACATTGTCTCTTTTCTCCACCAAATTCTCACCAAAGAACCCTCAGTTTTGAACAATGTCTTACTATGGTCAGTAGAACATTATATTAGGGTCATATTTCAAAGTTAAAGTGAGTCATATATGAGAATCTTGGTATCTGGGAATACGGTGTGCAAAAACACTTGGCTTATTGACTAAATTAGATTAGACCTGGCCACCAAAATTGAATTGGTTCTGCAGTTGTGCAAGAGGCAAGGGGGATGCAGACCTATGGGAAAGGGATTAGAAGGTTCTGCATCCTTGTGTATAGCCCGTATATAGCTTGTGCTTTGTCATTAGCCTTGGGAACCTAACCTCCACTTCACTGGGGGAGGAAGCCTCCAAGCCACCAGCCATGAAGGCAGGGAGTGTTATAGTTAAGCAAACCCTCCATTACTAGTGAGCAAAAAGAGTAGTTGCAACCCCTTAGGCTTCATATGTTCTCCTGCAGTCTGCATTTAATGGCAGAAAACAAACCCACACTTCCTGGAGGTTGGGATGACAGCAATTTGATGGCACCCAGATAGGGGAGGGAGGAAGGCAACACTGGTGCCCTGCTTTCCTCCCCACTGTGTTGCATCACCACACTCACTGTCTCACAGTGTAGGCAGCATGCCAGGAGAGCACAGTAGTGACAGGAAGTGTGTGATGTATACCATTTCATGTGCATGGGCTCCTTTAATCTCCACAGTGACCGCTAGGAAGTCAAATGTACCACCATCATCCCCAGTTTACAGATGGGAACATGCAACCTTGGGGCAGTAAACAGCTTGCCCAGGTAAGACAATTTGCTAAGGAAAACTGTCTGAAGTCCAGGCTGTCCTGAGGTTGCAGGCGTACACCAACCATGTGTATGTTGTTCCCCAGGCCCATTACAAGAGCTGTGCATTTGAGGCCTGATTTATTTAATGCCAACACTGGGTTTTCCCCCGTCTACAGCCTTTATAGAAAGGAATCCACCCGGTCTCCTGACCTCAGATTTGCACAGTAACAATAGTGCTACCACATCCTTGCCCTAGACTGAGGGGGTTGCTATTTGGCTCAGCAATAATAAAGCTAAACTTTGCCTTGTAGTAAGCCATACCCTGGAGAGTACACAGTTCATGGAAGGCACATGGACATCCTGAGCTGTGCTAGATGCTGAGCCATCAGCCTGCTTACCTCTCCCAGAACACTTGACTGCATGGACTGGGGGTATTAGGGTGGGAAGAGTATTTTCTGAACCCCGTGAAGGCCACAGTCCAGCTATAAAATCATCACAACAAAGTCCCTGAGGTCCACTGCCTCCCAGCTAACCAACAGCTTAGAGTGACCATTCCGCCACGATTCCAAGATTCATCTCTTTCTCAAATCTCAGCCCATTTACAGTTCTTTGTTTCTGGTTCCACCTCCCCAACCCCCCCACATCAAATAAAGACTCATTGGGAGGGGTTGAGTGGATGTAGCCTTATGTAGCTAGGGCACAAACAGAAAGGAAGCTCCCAGGAAAATAGCAAAGTAGATAACAGGGAAGCTGCTTCTACCTTCCATTTCCAGTATGGCTGTGGCCTGCTGGGAAGAGGTCTGTCTGTGGTTAAGGCCCTTGAGTCAAGGTGGCTTTGGGTCTTCCTCAAGTACCTCTTATCTTTGTTAGGAATACTGCTGTGACTTTATTATTTAATCCTGTATTCTTTGTGTCTCTCATCTGCAGAAGTATTTCTAAACCCTCTTTCTATCTAAGTCATTCTGTCCCATTAAGAAATAGAAGAGGGTACCAGGTAGAAAACTGGCACTTACATATTTTCTATAACACAGCAGAAAGGAGAGTGCACCACTT